TCTATCTATCTATCTATCTATCTATCTATCTATCTATCTATCTATCTATCTATCTATCTATCTATCTATCTATCTAACCTACCAGCTTACGTTTGGGTGCTCTCGTGGTCACCCTCTTAACATCGCAAGAACCAAAATTATTATGGGAGGGTAATGTGAATTAACAAACATGACGCGCTGGTCAAGACTTAAATAATGTTCCAATCCCGTCACGTACGTCGTCAAACGTTTCCCTTCAGATGGTTGCACACAACCACGAGTGGGTATGTGCCACTGATATGCGGGTATGTGCTACAGATGATTGACACCTATAGTATCTACTCAGGTACTGTATGATATCTAGAGACAGTCACTGGCGTCACTGTTCTTGCGCTCATCGACAACAGCCAAATGTCTGTCGACACAATTCTTGCAAGTGCCTGAGAGAAGACATTGCAACAGAAGGCGAGAAAAGCTCTGTTGAAATTCCTACGCGACATGGACTTGAACAAGCGGCTGTAACAGCAAAGTCACATGCCGCGAAAGACAAAACTGCACTATGACTGAGTGTGCGCGCGTGTGCTGCCGTATGTGCTGTGTTTATCTCTCGTCCCTCTCTCCTCTCTGTCTTTCATCTCCCCCATCCCCCTTCTATGCGAAGGGTAGCAAACCAGCTGCCTATAAGCTGGTTAACCTCCCTGGCGTTCTTTTTCTTCTATTTTTCTTCCTACTCAGGAACGACGAGAACAGACTTATGGGCAACTTCAACACGCGATCGCTAAGAAATACACGTCATGTGTAGCGTCGACCCAACGAATGCAAAAATAAATATCAGGGTCCCAGTTTGAATCAAACCCAAGCATTCTGCATGGCAACGAAGCATTTTACCACAAAGCAACGCGAGGTCTCAGAACTACTTTTCAGATAGACGTTAATCTTCGTGAAACGTCATAGTGGTTGCAGTGCTGCCTACAAAATTTTATACACAATACATATGTACTCATCTGATACAGTCGTCACGTCGGGTTACCTTAAATTCTGGCACTTATCTTGATTTATGTAGCAGTGTCGAGAGCCAGCCTTCTTGCGAGCATCAGCGCTACATGTCAGCCTATGGTGTTTCCAAGACGCATGTTCCTGTCGACGTCAGTACGCAACTCCAAACAACTGGCTATATAATCATCTGCAAATCTTCAACATATAACTTCTGAGCGTGCAACTTTCGTACATATATTCAGCCTCATTTCATGACATTTCTCTCAATAAAAAAATTGCAATACGGTCACTCTCATTCCGCATGCTTCGCATAACGCCCATTTGCATGTACATAAGATCTGCCGAATTTTTTTTCAATGCGAAGCATTTCTTAGCGAACTTCGGCGACTTTGAGCGTATCTATGTATCTATCTAGATGCCTACGTCTTATAGCTTTCCTGGCCGTTTCGCTTATGGTAGCGTTATCAAACTTAGTGTGGCAGAACATGACTGTATGAAAATATATTTAACTTGTCATAACATGACAATCATGATATGTATGTCATGAATGTCATGATTTACAATTCATTGGCCTCCAGCTCATGTGGTCGTTCCCTTCCCATGGCATGTTGCAAAACTGGTATGGTATGCCACGATTGCATTCCGAACACAAGCGGCCGGCCCTAACATGAAAATCAATCACATGCATGTCAAGTAACAACATGACTACATGCCACGCTAAGTATGCACAAGCGGCCGTTCTCTATCGCGTCACATACACCAAGTTTTGTATCACGTTACGTGAATAAATGAAGAATGTATGCAACTGGTGCAAACATGATAATCACGAGATGACTGTAGTGTAAAAACATGACTACATGCTACGATAATGATGCGCTGGCGGCTGTTTCGATAGCTTCACTTATACAAAATTTGATATTGATGGACGTGAATGAATGACACAGGCATGATATTGGTGCAAACATGGTAAACATGAGGTGCATTTCATGGAACAACATGAATACATGCTACGCTCACGATGCGCTCGCGGCCGTTTTGCCAGTTTCACATGTACCGAATTTGGTATTACGTGATGCCAAAGAATGACGAAGATATGTGACTGGAGCAAACATGATAATCATGAGATACGTGTCATGTGAGAACATGACTACATGCCACAGTCAACGCGCCAATACATTTCGACGTGACGCAGTGCGCGTGCTCGCTAGCGTTCATTTCATCGCATCACGCCGGCGTTGCAACGCCAGGCGCTGGTCCTGCCATATACTCGCAGGCGCTAGCTGCGTGGCGTTGCTTTGACGTATGTGCGTTTCGGCACGTCCGGCGTCCCTCCGACGAAAAGAGGGAGACGCAGTGTTGTATGGGTAACCCATTGGCGCGAGATGCAGCATGTCGCATTTTGCGCCGGTTTCCGTCGGGCCACGCCGACGGACGCTGGTCGCACCTGGCGTCAGACTGTAGAGTGCTCGCCTTCTGCTATTGTTGCGTCGCTGTGCCCAGCGCGCGCGTGCGTGAACGCTACATGGAATTATATTGGTTCCTTCATGATGCGCTCGCAGCTGTTTTGCTAGCAACACGTGTACCATATTTGGTGTTACGTGACTTCATTTGATGATGAAAAATATGACTGGTGAAAACATGATAATCCTGACATGCGTGTCATGTAAGAACATGACAACACACCACACTCATAGCCTGCTCGCGGCAGTTTCGCTAGCTCCACATATATATATTTGCTATGACGTGACGTGAATAGACGACAAAGGTGAACAAAAAAATACATCTAAACATGACAATCATTGCACGCAATTCATGTATACCATAATTAACCTCCACCTCGTAACGTTGTGCTGATTTTAAAATGGCATATAAACAATTCTCATTCGTGCTTCAATTATCATCAATTCCCAGTGTACGTGGGATCTGACAATTTTTTAAAAGAATTTTTTTTATATCTTCGTTCAGTCCCCATTCATCGGTGAGATGAATATCTGCAACACTGAATGGTGGAGGTGATGACAATTGTACTGCCAATGAAAGTCTGGAACTGAAACCCCCTGCGGTTTTTGCGGGCTTCATCAAATTTGTATATTATAAAACAAAGACTTTAGTGGTACTTTGAGGAACACACTCAGACATATGTCACAGGTCCCGTTAATTCGAGTGGCGATCACCGGGCTAATTCCATGGGCCGAAGTATCGGCCCCCCCGAACCGCACCACGAAAGCGTAGACAATTAGAAGTGGTCCGTTTTTGGCGCACCAGCGGACGCCAGCTGTGGCCCAAAGAACAAGTCAGAGCTGAGAGTTGATAAAAAAAAACAAAATTATATTCTCAATAATGGCAGATCAAAACAATACACAAGTATGCACACTCCACAATAGTTGCATACAATATGTCACCAATCAAACAACGTACTACACAGTACAATCAGCCATACTCAAAACAACGGACACAGACAACAATACGCACTACAATGCAGTCGCATGCATTGAACAACCAAGACACTTAAAGACTAAAGAGAAAGAAAACCTATTCAGTCCAAAGTTCTTGGATCAAAAGTCTGGATGATACTCTTCCGAGAATCACACACTCAAAGTCCAGCGTTGTTGTCATTCCGCTGCCCCCGAAGTTTCTCTTCCAGAAAACCTCGCGTCTTCAATTGGCCGCTCTCTAGGCTCCAAACTTCTTCGCTGGAAACACGTTGGCTTCCCACACGCAGCTGTTGCCACGCGTCTTCGCTCGATAGCGGTAGACACATGCTCTTGCCTGTAGCTCGAGTCTTCACCCCTCAGGTGGAAATCCTCTTCTTCCCCTCCCTTGTCACGGAAAACAAAAGGCTTCACCCACAAGGCGGAACATTCTACGCACTCTGGCGCATATTTTCTTCTTCTCCTGCTTTGTCACCACAGACAAAACCTTCGCTGACTACACGGCTGTATAACCCCACGCACGCTGGCGCTAACTTCCTTCTTCTCCTGATCTCCCATCTCTGCTGCTCGGTTAAATACCTTCCATGCGAGATTCCAGAAAATTCTCATCATTTCGTCGGCGCGATACGCAGCGAAGGCTGGGGAGAGGGCGAGACGGTTCGAAAGCCGTCCGCGGCGGGTGACGCAACCCGGCATCACCACGCCCCTTTTCATCTAGAACATTCCAGGGCTTGCTCGGGCGCCGATGAGAGGAGATTCGTCGGTGAACCCACGTTTCCGAGGGGAGGAGGACGCGCGCCCGGGGAGTCTTTGGATGCTTGTTTTTTTTTATCGTTGACTTCTCGGCGCTTCCTCGCGAGAATTCAGCGGCGCGCCCGTTTTTGAGCGCTCGTTTTGGGACAACATACTTTTTGCACGCAGGCATGCAGGCAAGCGAACACACCACCGGCAGCGCAGCCAGGCGCCTCTTTGAAACCATGAAAAATAAAAACAATGTAACCGTTTCTGGTGCACCCAAGGAGGAATAAAGAAAAATTGCAATTTTTAGAATCCTCCTTGGGCGCAGCCTAAGGCTGCCTCAAGTGCGTCCAATGCAATTTAAAGTTATGCATGTTTGTTTCAGACATTATAAGTCTACCTGCGAAGATATCTTGTCCTAAAGCAATAGATTGACCACATCTGTTGAGTGGCGCTACCGGGTCTATTTTGTCGACTTTCAACATCAAGTTAAAATTGCAATTCCTTTTATATGGGACGAAAGCATGCTTGCTGCTGCCGATGTTATGAACAATCTTCTCATTTTTGCCACAATCAAGAAAGGTTCTCGAGCAGTGGACAGTGTATTTACGATTTTTTATAGTTAGCGTTTGGGCAATAATTGCCTGTCAGCCAAAACTCGGTGTTCCTGAGCTTCTTCCCTTTTACCTGTTATTCACCTGTCGTTGCCGTTTCACTGAACACCTCAAAGTTTCCATATGCCTCTTCACTTGTGTGTATCACTGTTTTTGGATTTTTACACGTGCAAAGAAAGCAAGGCGAATCATTGCTTCTATTGCCCCACGCTTCATTTTTTGTTTAATATTTTCTGTGTAGGTTATTATGCAGGGTGAAGACATCGTGATCTCCGGCTTTTCCGCCTATTTCCCTCAAGCGGATCACATGGTCGAGTTCAAGCAGAAGCTCTACGCGGGCGTTGAAATGGTCACCGAAGACGACTTGCGATGGCCTCCAGGTGTGTTTAAGAAGCATTTTAATCCTGCACCGTCTTCAGTGACAAGCTATACCGGAGACCCGCAGGTCGCGGGTTCGATTCCCGGCTGCGGCGGCTGCATTTCCGATGGAGGCGGAAATGTTGTAGGCCCGTGTACTCAGATTTGGGCGCACGTTAAAGAACCCCAGGTGGTCAAAATTTCCGGAGCCCTCCACTACGGCGTCTCTCATAATCAAATGGTGGTTTTGGGACGTTAAACCCCACAAATCAATCAATCAAGCTATACCGGAGAAACACAGGCACTGCCGCAGTCAATGCAATTCCACATGCGGCCATATCTAGAACACTGTGCAGTGTAAATTATTCTAGGAACAGACTGAAAAGTTCAATTCGGCAAATGTGCACACAAATAGTACCCGACAAAAAGAAGAACCAGCATCCGTTAAATACTAAATTTTTTCCAACAGCACCGTGAACTATTCAGGAAGACTTCAAGGTATTATAGTGCTTGGCACCCATTTTTTGACGCTTACTTTCCGCATTCTTGTAAACTGAGCTGCAATAAGCTCAGTTTGTTTCGAGTACTTTCACTAAACATGATTTTTTTACGTGTACGGTAGGCCAGCAGTATTGCTGTGCGCCAGCGCGGTACTTGTGCAACATAAAGGAAGTCTCTGTCTCTTACAACAGTACTTCTCAGCGTTGCGTTGTTGAAGCTACATAAGCTAGCTTCAGAGTACGGCTGGGAACTATTTGGGCACTATTTGTGAGTTTGTTATGTTAGTGTTGAAACTATGGAACATATGTAAAAAAACCAGAATGAACGAAAAAAAAACTTGCTCTGCATCTCATGCATTCTTCTGAGACGACCAGGGGCTCTATGCAGGATTGACCTAGTCTCGAAAACTCGGGATGTTCCAGAGATCTGGCGACACCCCCTTACGAACGAGCCAACAGAACGAAAATGTCAAATTCACCCCTCAGCACGCAGCGCTTCATTGGTTACGATGGAACCAGTCGTCGCTTCAAAGACGGTCGACTAAATTTAGCGGTGTTTTCAAACCAGAGGCGTCTTGTTTCATTTGTTTGTCGTTCCACTGAGTGCAGAGGTGCACGCATGAAATAAAAGGGTCCGAAACTTTTCGCGAAGATATTTTATAGATATATGGATGTTTAAATTTATTTTCAAGCTCCTATAGCTTGCACAAAGTCTGTTTTAGAATAAATAGTCATGGTAAGGCCCAGGTAATTTCGCCATATCTTCTGAAGTTCATGCAGACGAAGCCATGTAAAGGTAAAACCGGGCCAAGTAATGCATGCTAGTTGATGAGCTAACAAATCTATGCTAATTAACGTGGATCTAACCATGAGCACGCTAAGTATAACCTTGATTATAAGCCCTTACTAATATTATGACAATTAGTATCCTGCTAATAAGGATTTCGTTTATTAGCTTCGTACTGATCCTTCCTTTGCTAATTGCGCCCGAGATAATTGTATTTTAAATGAATCCTCATCAATGAAGACAAGACAGCTTAGTGTAATGATCATCAAGGCTCAGTAAATTAGTTCAATTAAACTTGAGACAGCTGATGTGGTCTTCACTTCGAAGCCGATCGCCCACATGAGTAGATGACCAACTTCAAAAGCTACAGGAAGCCAGGTTATCATAAGCTCTTCCATAGCTCCAGCCTTGCACAAGTAGTGTAAGCTCGCCAATTTATTTATTACGCAAAGAAGCTACCACTTAACGTTCACCGCAGCAAACGTTTGACTGTCTCACCGACACCATCGCAGTCCCGAGTTGAACTCGGGCCTTTTCAGAATCAACAAGATTGTATCCGAGTTCATGCATCAATCAGTTTGATTGACAGATGCCCGCGGCAGAGATCGGATACGCCCACCACGTTTGCTCTTGCCGAGGAGCAGTACTCACGTCGAGCGGCACGATTTATCTATCAGCTTTATTGCGTAGACTATGCATACACGCACGCGGAAAAAAAAATTGATTCCTAAGAGAGAAAGGAAGAGAAAAGTGAGCCCCGTAACTGTCTGCTTCAGTGAGCGACACCTCAACAGTAGCTCACAAGGAAAGGGGGTGAGGAGGGATCAAAAGAGTAGGAATAAAGGTGTAGAAAAGAGGAAGAGGCGTGAGGTGGTAAGTCACAGAGAGCGACGACAAATCGAGGGGATAGGAGAGATAAGGAAGATAGAAACACGGTCACAGGTGTCCAAGCACGGGGCACCACTTGCGAGAGCTCTTTTCGGCGTCAGTAGATGGCGTAGAGCAAGTCCAGTAGGTCAGAGCTACACTGTCGTCGAAGGTCGTCAGCGTCAAGAGATGACGTAGGGCGAGCCCAGTCTGCCAGAGCTACGCTGACGCCGGAGATCGCGAGGGCAAAACCGGTCGGCTCGGAATCCAGCAAGCGAGTGTCACGCACGCAGAAGTAAAAGCGATGTTACCGCGCGGCTACGATGTGTCGCACTCAATTTCACCACGCTCACGACGTTTCCAATCACAGCCGCGTTGCCGCCAAGATGCAAGCGTCCTGGCGGCCAGCTGTCCTTATATTTATCCTCAATATTTCAAGGAGTGAAACGAGCAGCTTAAGAGTGCTGCGTGTGAACCCTTGCTGCCTTCGATAGTGGAAATGTCCGTGCTGCAGGTGGAACGAAAGAAACCTGTCTGCAGGACTGCGCAAAAAATTGGTTGCGCGGCTGTCTTAGTTTGCTTCTATTTACTTTCTGTTGTAATCTTCGAGAGGCCCGACAGCCGATGGCACGCAGCATTGTTTTAGTTTCATTCGATCGAAGCGTGTCCTACCGGATATGCCGTGAACGCAGACAGTACGGCCCCAGCATGTTACCCCGCGTAGTTCTGCAGCGCCAGAGACGGTTGAGCAAGTAGAGTTTCTGTGAACTCAGAAAAAAGAAACGGACCGGCACGGGGGGCAACAAGGAATAGAAACGTCATTGTGGCGATGCCATCATTGCCGCACGGCCCTGGCAGTCCGCACATCAATGGGTCTCTTCCGAGACCGAGAGGGGCACCGCGACTCCTCACTTAGGTTCAGCTGAAGCCCAGCTACATGCAGGGTTCACGCATGCCATTTCGAGGCAGCGCACGTCGCGATAACTCGGAGGTCACCGACAACCTTGTGTCCCAGTCGGGCTTAGCTCCGGTAGCTCTCAAAAGCGGGGGGATGGCGACAACTCAGAACAAGGCTGATGTCGCGATGCTCGGACACCCAGTCGGCGAATCGGTGCGTATAGACCTCTCTCTGTTTGTAAACAGTGTGACGTCACTGTGGGCACCCCACCTCCCATACCCTCTCTCGTAGCAGCTGCTGCTTGGCAAGAAAGTTCCTCTGGCGGTATCTTTCTGCATAGCAGAGCTGCGTGTGTGCATTTTTTCGACAGAAATTTCTACAATGCTATGTTCTGAAGTCACAGCTTTTGAAAGGAGGGGTCGCGGAAGGGTCCCTACTCATAGTGTGGAAATTCGCTTGTCATAGTTGGATAGATGGACAAACTTTGTTTAGAATACTGAGAGACGCGACTATAGCACGCAAAATCTGAACTTTTTTGAAAGCGAACGTTTTGAATGTGCACAGTTACTGACACATTGAGAAATATTTGCATGACATGGATCTAAACTTATTCAATTTCCATCATGGAATGTGCAATGCCGTTTTAAACGAGGTACAGCATTGGCGGCAGCATGGTTGTGAGCTGCTGTGCGAGATGTCACAGATAAGATTCTCACTCATTGCCCCCAAGTCTGATCAGAGAGGAATAAAAAAATTGGCAGCATATCCACGGAGTGAATGATGGAGAGTGGGGCGAAGAATTCGTCCGTTCATTCGTTCTTGCTTCCGTCGTCCATGCGTCCATCAGTGTGACCGTCCATGCGTCCATCAGCCCGTCCATGCGTGCCTCTGTTCGTGCGTTCGATCCTGCGTTCGTCCATGCAGCTGCCCCGGCGTCCGTTCATGCGTTCATCCATGCATCTGTCTATGTCTCCGTTCGTCCATCTATTCAACACTCCAAGTACCATCATCTCGCATCTTTTCATCATATATTCCCCATGTAGAAGCACCGCCATCCAGCGGACATTCCAAAGACTAAACGAGAGGTGGCACACGCACACTTTTTTACGGCTTGCGCTTCCGGTCCACTTCCCACCTTTAACGACCTAGAGTTCATGGTATATACTAGTTCACTGTATTCATGACACTGCGGCCGAACGCTCGCTAAACCTTTCGAAAACCAAGGAGGTTACGCCCAGCGAGTATGACGTAGCAAACTTTTTCAGTCAGATAGTGCTCAATGTACATGCCAATGGCTGCTAACGGGAAATGAGAGGCGGAGAATTCGGATTTTGCTTTCTTACGGCTTGCGCTTCGTATCTACTTTCCATTTTTAACCACCTCGAGTTCATTCATGGTATATACAAGTTCATTGTATTTATGGCACTGCGGCTCAACGCTCGCTAAACCTTTCTAAAGCTAAGGAGGATACACCCAGCGAGTATAACGTAGCAACCCTTTCTTGTCAGATAGTGCTTAATTTACATGGCAATGGCTGCTAATGGTGATCGCAGCCTGCGCGTTAACTTAAAGCCGAATGCTCCTGTCTCGCATTCCCCATGAGCAGCCATTTACATGTACATTGAGCACTATTTTTTATTGTTCAACAACGCACAGAAGAAGTCTCTCACCGGCACCACCTTGGAGGTCAGAATGTTATACTTGTTACACTCTACGGGGAACGAACGGGTGCCGCTATAAGAAGCTTCGCCTCTAAAAAGAAACACTTCGGGCGGTGGGTTAGGCTGAGGTTAACATATTCTAGTGAAAATCATGGTGACATTCTGCCGCTGCATTTTTCCATAACCCAGTGAAAGTTCATGTGATGTAAACCCAGACTTCATAGTAATATATAATATCATCAGGCACACTTACCTTGCTGCATTTGACACCAATAACGTGTTTTCGTACTTATATTGCTCCTTTAGGCCT